TAAAAACTTCAATTGAATTTCAATAAAGTTAAAGGCATGGCCTCACCGTTAATATTTAAAAAAAAAAAAAAAAAAGTGCCTAAAGTAACAACTTCAGGCAACAGGAGAAACCATGCAACATATAAAAAAATTAATTTACAATTTAGATCATTCCGCTAGGACATGTTATGATTATAATCCACTATGTTTATTATAATAAAATGGTGTTGGATTATAATTATAAAATGTACTAGCAGAATGACCTGATTATACATACATAGAAAACTTGCAACTATAAGAGAACTAGCAAAGTTAATTGCCAATGCCAGTGCAATGTATTATTACCCATAACACATTTCTAGTTAATATGAGATTAGATGTAATGTAAAGTTTAAAATTTAAACCTGATTTTTTGTAACAAAAAAATTTTTATTTAATAAAATTTTTTTATTAATTTCCTTTATTACCTTATACTTATTATAAATGATTTTTTTATATGCATATAATAAAAAAAAAAATGTTAATCTGGTTAAATTTTTACCAAAAATATATATTTCTGGAACATTTTACCAACCTATCTAACCTGCATGTTAATGTTCATTTGTTACAAAATGCACAAAATTTTGTAACATTAAGAAACACTGCAGTTGGTATTAAGAAAATGGTTCATTACATCTTCAAAGGCATGGTCCCACATACCAATAAAAAAATTATTGAACTGGACCTTACATGGCAATATAATACAATAGAAGCATTAAGGCTTATTATTGATGGTTAGAAAGATCCCTAGTTTAGTATTAATACTAATGCACTTTCTGACCTCATCAAGGATCTGCTTTTTTATAAAGTTTTCTCCAATTGGTATGCTATTGAAAGCCTATTATTGTATTCACTAAATAAAGAAAATAAAAGTCATAATAGGTAAATTTAAGTTTTTACTATATGATCTTAAAATAATGGGATGAGCATTATAGTAAAATCTTCATAAGTGCACCTTTTTTAAATGCACACCCAAATTTCAGCTAAAATATATTCATGACCTTCACAAATGCGCTTTTTCTTATTGTTTTTTAAATGCATGTTGTTGGTCCTGTATCTCAAAAATTAGATATTTTAAAACCCACATATTTGGTAAAAATTGGTCAGTTTCAAATAATACCCTTTATGTGGCACTCAAAAACAAAATTTTGTGCATATTTTTTTTAGCAACATTTACAAATTGTGTAATATTCATACAAGTTTTATTTAAATCAATACTACTTGCAGGTATTTCAAAATAATGCTCACTTCAAGCATCTTAACATTGTCATGCTTGAATTTAGCATTTGCCTAAAGTTGTATCTGCTCGAAGTTACTAACTAAATTCATGCAAAAAATCCAAATTACAACTAGATTTCAAATTAAGCACAATACCAAGCATACTCAAATAAGTGTAGGTGGTCAAAATACACAGATTCCTATTATTTTAAGATTATAATAACCTTTTTAGTTTGTTCTATATATTAATATCAATATGAATTAGAGTTTGAAATCAGGTTATTTTTTATATTTTAAATTTGATAAATTTATTTTTAAAATATAAAAAATAAATTTGGTTTCAAACTCTAATATCCATGTTCTTAGATAGAGAGCATATCACTTGTTGTAATAAAGACTTTATTAATATTATGCCTAAAAACAAGTGGAATCTTAGAAAATTAGAGAATATGATTTATCTAATATGTTCTCACTTTTTCAAGATCTTTATCAATCATATACAAAGTACCTTGGATTGAGAAATGCACTCTTAAATAAGAAACTTGTGTTTTATGATTATATTATATACACTGTTCTCAATATCGAAGATCCTGTTAAATTAAAATTCCATGTTGGTGATATTATAGAGCTAGTTGAAAATTTTGAGAAAATCACTTATGCTAGAATTAGAACAATATTTACGCATCAAGAAACTAGTGAGAAGACCTATGCATTTTTTCAATATAACAGATTTCAGGAGATGAATGTTGTTGATCCAATACTTGGATGTCTACTCTATAAAGTTCAAGCATCTGAAGGGGCATACATTTTCCCAATAAATTATGTTAATCATATTCCCCAAGTACATTTTCTATATGTTTGTACAAACATATGCAATAAGATAAATTGTTGTTATGTTTTAAACAAATTTTATTATAATGTAATATAATGAAATTAAATTTCTAAAATTATATTTTAGAGATGTTCTATAATATGGGTTGTTATCCAACAAAACTATGCTTAGTGTATATACTTTAAGCATAGTTTTGTTAGACAACAACCTATATAATTTATAATTCTCAGTATCGTTATTTCTTGAAATAACAAAAGTTATTAGTCATGTAACATTTCTGTTATTGTAACTGTTAATGAAAGAGCAGATACCAAAGAGGAAGGAACAAGGCCAATTTAACCCTAATGGTATATAGGTAAATAACAGAAAATGCTAGTAGACAAGACTGGTCTTTTATAACAGTTGGAAAGATATCTACAGTGCTAGGATATCAATCAAGTGAGGATGCGACTATAGATAATGCTGTAGGGGTGATGATCTTAAGGATCAGGATATTGATTTGGCGATGTTTAATTAATTTGTCCAAACTTAGACATTGTTATCAGAATTGCCACATGGAATATTCTATCCAATAACATGAAGATTTTATTTTGCGAATGAAAAAAAATTTTAAATTGTTACATTATCATTATACAGGATTTACATTAGATTATGAAGTTTATTGCTAAAGTTTATTGAAGTTTATCGCTAAAGTTTATTGAAGTTTATTGCTATAAGTTTATTAAAGTTATCACTATAAGTTTATTAAAGTTTATTGCTATAAGTTTATTGAAGTTTATCACTAAGTTTATAAAAGCTTTTTTAGTTTTTTCATTAAACTTTTTTCTAGTTCTTTTATTGTCATTTTTTTTCTTGATCAGAGGTGCTTTAAAGTATTAAACCTTTATTTTTAAATCGTTATAAATTAAAGATCACTAATTTTTACAAATCATGTAAGTTAAATTTATTTAGATTCTTAATGTAGTAGTATACTTTAGAGCTACTCTAGATTAAATCCAAATCTGGTTAAAGTAGGTTTAAAAAATGTAAATAAATTTGAAACAACCTAATACAGAACTAAAACAACCTGAAGTAGGATCTGGAGCAAGTCTAGTGAAGATTAGATCAATCTAACCTAGTTTGTATGGCTGAAATTGGGAATTAGCACTGATTAATCAATAGGAAGTAATCCTTTTTTTTTTGCCAGCACTAATGGCTTTGGTTGTTGAATTAGAATTGTGATAGTCACAACAAATCAGGATATAACTAGTATTTTTTTTTTATCTTATTTTTTTTCACCTCAGATACTAATTTTTTTTTTTTTTGAACACAGGTTTCACATATAGTTGGAATTGAGAATGAACATTCACAAATCAGAGTAATATTTTTTTTTATATGCTTTTTATTTTCTAATTTTTTTTTCTTGTTGACACTAACAATGTTTTCTTTAGTAATTTTAACAGTGAAAGATTTATAATTTTAACAGCAGGTGGTGTGAGAGTTAGTGATTTCAACAGTAGTTTATAATTTTGACAATAATTAGATTAACGATTTCAATGAAGGGTGAATTCTTTATTATTATTTCATTTCATCCTTGTTACTTTATATATTAATGGCTTTTTTTTTTGTATATATAACATATACTTTGCTACTGAACATTGAGCAATTAGAAGAGGTATTTTTTTTGTATATTTGCTGACTCTAATGATTTTTTTTACAAAGGTTTTAATTTTTTAATTGATATAGGTATAACAAATCAAAATGTTACTAGTATTTTTTTTTCCAGATACTAATGCTTTCTTTTTTTAAGTACAGGTTTCTCTAGAACTGGGATTAGGACTTAGCACTGATTAATCAATAGGAAGTAATCTTTTTTTTGCCAGCACTAATGGCTTTGATTGTTAAATTAAAATTGTGATAGTCACAATGAATTAGGATATAACTAAGGTTTTTTTTTATCTTATTTCTTTTTGGCTCAGATACTGATTATTTTTTTTTTGAACACAGGTTTCGCATATACTGCATGACCTCCCTAAACTAATATGCATAATGGCCAGCTTTTGTATTAGTTTTGACAGATTATCTGTTTTGAAATACTAATAACCTATAGCTTTATAGTTATAAATAAATATGATTGGCTAGATTTATTTTTTATATTTATTATATGTTATATAAAATCTAATTTGAGCCAATCAAATTAATTTTTTTTATCTGTCAAATTTGATATCTTATAAATATTTAATTTCTAAATATCAGTTATTAGGTTTGACAAGTTATCAGATTTGACAGAATCAGTTTTGGGAGGTTTGACAGTAATTGGAATTGAGAATGAGCATTCACAAATCAGCAGTAATCTTTTTTTTTTGTGTACTTTTTATTTTTTATTTTTTTTTATTTTTATTTTTTTCTTGCTAACACTAACAATGTTTTCTCTAGTAATTTCAACAGTGAAAGATTTATAATTTTAACAGCAGGTGGGGTGGGGGTTAGTGATTTCAACAGTAGTTCATAATTTTAACAATGATTAGGTTAACGATTTCAATGAAGGGTAAATTCTTTATTATTATTTTATTTCATCCTTGCTACTTTATATATTAATGGCTTTTTTTTTTGTATATATAACATATACTTGCTACTGAACATCGAACAATTAGAAGGGGTATTTTTTTTTTGTATGTTTGCTGACTCTAATAATTTTTTTTACAAAGGTTTTGATTTTTTAATTGATATAGATATAACGAATTGCGATGTTACTTGTATTTTTTTTTCAGATACTAATGCTTTCTTTTTTTAAATACAGGTTTCTCTAGAACTGGGATTAGGACTTAGTACCGATTAATCAATAGGAAGTAATCTTTTTTTTACCAGCACTAATGGCTTTGATTTTTGAATTAAAATTGTGATAGTTACAATGAATCAGAATATAACTAGGGGTTTTTTTTTTTATCTTATTTCTTTTTAGCTCAAATACTGATTTTTTTTTTTTTTTTGAAACAGGTTTCGCATATACTGTATGACCTCCCTAAACCGATATGCATGATGGCCAGCTTTTGTATCAGTTTTAACAGGTTATCTGTTTTGAAATACTAATAACCTATTAGCTTTATAGTTATAAATAAATATGATTGATTAGATTTATTTCTTATATTTATAATATGTTATATAAAATCTAATTTGAGCCAATTAAATCAATTTTTTTTATCTGTCAAATTTGATATCTTATAAATATTTAATTTCTAAGTATCAGTTATCAGATTTGACAGGTTATCAGATTTGACAGGATCAGTTTTGGGAGGTTTGACAGTAATTGGAATTGAGAATGAGCATTCACA